TTAATTTTATTTATTTCAATATATATTCACTATTTGTATTAGTTTTGGTCGCTTTAATTTTATTAAAACAAAGGTCAGTAATTATGTTAATTTTGTAAGACTAAATATATTTTTCTCAAACCTCAAAGGAGAAGAGTGTAATTTACCATTTAATTTGTTGATTAAAATAGAGGAATTCAATACATTTAGGGCATGTTTGATTGACAGAATTAGCGTATGAGATTGAGATTATTAATTTGTAAGCCCAATAATTCTGTGTTTGTTTTGAAGTTGTCATGCCCAACAATAATATAATAAATACAACCCAATCATATGTTAATAATTGCATAAATGAGAATAAATAGTTCTTTCATTATATAAAAGTTAAAGATACAAAAGAGTTTATCATAAATAAATGTCCTATTGGCTTATACCTTTCTAAGCCTTGACTTGGTTACAACAAAAGTGAGCTTCGCTCATTACACCTTAAGCCTTTGGCTTTGCAAAAATATACAATAAAAATAAGAAGCTCTTGCTCCAGAAAATCCCTCCAACGCTATTGCCTTGGTGGAGGCATCCCATCATTACTTGAAAATGTTTTTCCCAAATAAGGTGAGCCACAACCCAGTAAGAATCATCTAACATAATATATGAAGTTTAGCAAATGTATAAGTACAAAGTGTATAAACAATACTTGTGGTAAAACTTTTCACAACTTTATATATTCTCAAGATATCAATTTCAAGTCTTAATCCATCTTCTTTCAATTCATATTCCGTTCACTTATCTGCCTCAATTCATGAGTCAATTTCGTTATTTCTTAACAACTGAACTAAGGTTACAACTCAACAAATTTTCAAATCATACAACACATATGCATAAACACTTCAAATTTCCATTTCACGGATATTTCGTCTGTAGACAGCCGTCAAACGGGACCTATGTAAACGTAGGCTATACAAGCACTACAATTGCCATTTTATGGAAATTTCATCCACGGGCAGTCGTCAAATAGAACCCATGTATAATTTTGGGACTTTCACCCAAGAGACTCCGGCCAACTTAATTATAATGGAGTCCATCCACTTTCTCCACCCAAACAATCATTCATATATATGCAATGTATTTAAACATAGTCATATCCAATGACAATCAACAAGAGGTTAGTTTCATTTTATCTAATCCTCATGCAATTTCTACAACACTCATAGCTATCCTCCACCAATAGCCCAATACAGATATTTCTAAACAGATATACGATCTCAAGATAGATAATTTGACCAAATTTCCAAAGATGTGAAGCATTATATACTTAATTCCACCATCTATTTCAATACTCACTTAATTTCATATTTACCACACCAATTTCAATTATTTATACAGAATAATTATGTTAGCCATTTTAGGGCAAAAATCTCATTTTTTCTAAACATCAACCCAAGTACCAAAATCTACCATTTTGATACAACATGACCATATATTCAACCCCATACCCATTTATTTCATACTTGCCAAAAACCCCTCTTTTCATTTCACCCCCAAACCCTAGGTTTGTACAAACTACTCCCAAATCCCACAATTGTTACACAATAACAAATAACTAAGCTAAAAAACATATGAGAGTGTAGAAGAATCCTTATCTCAAAGAGAGAAGACGAGTCAAGCAAGAGTGAAACTCCAAGGACACCAAAACCCACTTCTATTTGGATCAAAATGAAGATCTTGAAGCACACTACCTCTTTCTTAAAGGCACTAGGGTGAAAAGATCAATGGATCTGGATGAAATTGAAGAGTGAAGGTGAGTTTTAGAGAGAGAAGCTCAAGATCTAGATATTTGGAGAGTTTTAGAGAGAGAGAGAGAGAGAAGAAAAAGATTCAAAATGATGTTTTCACGGACTGTTATACATGCAGTCCGCTCGAGCGTGTAAAGTGACGCTCGAGCGTCAGACACAAAGTTTCGCTCGAGCGTGAAAAGTGGCACTCGAGCGTGGGATACGCTCTTTCAGAAGTTTTGCAGTCGAAGGACCCTGCTCGAGCGTCCAATGCATTCTCCTAGTATTTGCAGACCTGCAAAAACACTGAGAATTGACAAATCCCGCTTAAGCGCAAGAATAGCTGCTCGAGCAGAGGAGCAAAGTTTGTGAAGCTCGCTCGAGTGCAAGAATGCCCGCTCGAATGGAAAAGCCAAAATCTAAGCATCACAGATTTGGAAAAACACGCAACCAACCTATTCCAAACGCACAACTACAATCCGATAACCAAAATAAAGGAAAAGACAAGGGAAAAAGATACGAATAACCATACAAAATCATACCAACCAGAGTCCGGAATACGACAAGTGATGGTCAAAATCAGAATCGCTATAGAAATTTTGTTTCAAAATTATTAATCAAATAAATAATTAATCCAACAAATTTGTAAGATTATTAGTAATGGGGTAGGGGTGAGATTATATATCATGAGTTGGGAAATAAAGTAAAAAAACTCTTTTACCCTTGACTAAAAATTAAAACATTTATTATTTTTATATAATTTTATATTTTAGAAGGCTAAAAATAATTTTAAAAAATTTAAAATATTTTTTGATATTTATTTTATCAAATTAGTTTATATTTTTGAAAAAAATTAAAAAACAAACCAAACATGGCCCTTGTATTTTGTATTTTTATTTTTCTTTTATTTATTTATTTATAATTTTTTTCAAAACCATTTTTATGAAGAAATTTTGATAAAGTAAAGATTGTGAACAAATATTGATAGAGGGTAAAATTGAAAAAAAAGATAAATATAGTGTAATTCTACATTTATATGTTTTTTATCCAATACAAATCAAACAATGGATAACGGGGTAATTTATCCTACTAGTTCAATTAAACAATGAATACCATACTAATTTGATAAAATTATTAATACCTTCACTATGTGAATCAAACATGGTCTAAATGGTGTCTATTTTACAATTTGAACAAATAAAAATAAAATTTTATTTATACTTGTTAAATTAAAACTAAAATTATTTTCGATAGAAGTGAAATCAGCATAGGTAAAAGATTTACATTAAAAAAAATATTTATTTAAAATTAAAAAATACTAACAAAAAAAAAAATATTATTTTAAAATTCAATAATGTACCAAGGGCCTAATAAAATAAAAAGAAGATTTCGAAGGAATCAAAATCCACGAGGTGGTGCATTAGGGATGGCAATGGATAACCTACCTTGTAGGTATCCATGGAGACCCAACCCAAATACATGAGTTTTCCCCTCTTTTTTTTATCCATTGGTAGGGTAGGTGATATTCTTTAAATATCCACAGAGGATGAGTACCCACTAATTTTCCCATATTTTTTTTTTTTTTTTTAAGATTCACAACCAAAACTAAATATACAAAAGAAAGAAAAAAGATTGAATGTATATTTAGTTTTTGTTGTGAACTTTAAAAAAAAAAAAGAAAAAGAAAAAAAAAGTGGTTGTTAACATTAAATATAAAAAATAAAAAAAAGGAGATTAAAGTGGGTTGGGAAAAATTCATACCCATTAAAAAATGGAGAGGGTGGTACCCATGGAGAATGGAGAATGAAGAATGGAAAAAATTTATTATAAGAAAATAGGGATGGGAAATTAATATCCACCCCATTGCCCCATTGCCATTCCTATTTCGAAGGGATCAAAATCCACGTGGTGGTGCATGAGCCATTATGAAAAAGCGGTTTTGGCACTGTAATCGCAGCTATCACCCTCTTCTCTTGTGTTATTTATAGGGCAAACTTCGCAAACTTCATTTTAGTCATCTGTAGTTTGGATCTGGTGCAGTATTCGGAAATTACCATATAATTTTTTTATAATTAATGGACTAAAACGCATAATTAACTTTTCAATTTAAAATAATAAAATGTGAAAGTCACACGCCTCTATAGAAAGTGAGTCCATTTTTATGACGAAAATACCCTTTATACCTCTTCAAATTTACAAAAGATGCCATTCTATTTTCAACCTTCTTTTTCTTCATCTCTTCTCTCTCTCTCTCTCTGTGTGTAACAACCCCATTACGTATAACAATTAGCACTTAATTAATTAAGGAGATTTTGAATTTAATTGCCAATTATCATAATTTAATCTGGGATTTATAAAAATCATGGAGATTGATTCATATATGATTTTATTGAAGATTTAATTTGAAATTAGAAATTAAGGGTCCAAATGACGTAAGGAAGTGAAGTTAAGAAGTTGAATCAATTTAATCTTAATTACGGACCCATTTGGAAGTTTAATTAAATATTCGATTCAATTTAGAAAAATTGAGATTCGATTAATTAGGTCCAAATTAGAGTTAATTAAATTAATTAAATTATGAGGATTGAGAATTGTGATTATTATGAATTAAATTTATTTATGGAGTTGAACATTTATTCACAATCAAATTGATACTAACCTCAACCATGCAATCCTACAATCCTCCAGAAAGTCGAACACAATTGATTCGAACTACTTAAAGCTCAGAAAATGTGACAGCCGAACAGCTACCTCTTCGTCATCTTCAGTTGCAAACCACAGAACCAGAACCAGACTAGAACACCAACAATGAAACCCTAGCACCACCAATCCATCGAACGAGTATGCAAAACATAAACGTATCTCTTGGAATTGGATTGATGAAGAGAAACGTAAAATGGAAACTGCCAAACTGAATCACCGAGGAAACAGCCACGTAAACAGGCACATAATATGTAAATGCGTATAACACTGTACACATACATATATATATATGGGGGCAAAATAGTCCAGTAAAATATGTTAAATTAGGAAAATGGACCTTATGGAATAAAAAGAAAAGTTTATGGGACTAATCAGGTTATCATATTCTTTTGTGGACCTAATGGGTTATAACAACTCTAGAATGGATTTATCAATAAAAATCTCTTTAGTTAATTTTAGAGCCTTCTAATCTTTTAGTATTGGAATCTTGTGCACGTGCGAATAGTGTTGAATCAAGAAGTGGGTTTGTGTATATGTGGTGCCAATTTCAAGTGAAGAAATGGGCTTACTCTTTTCTTCTTCAAAAACTGTTTTGTTGAATATGGTTTGGAGAGGGAGAGAAGAACCGAGAGAGAGAGAGTGAGAGAGAGAAGTCCAACCTTATGCTGGAAAAAGCTTTGGAGGAATGGGTTTAAGAGATCTAAATGAGGATAAGAGGGGGAACTCAAGGAATTAAAAAGAAATTCAGCCATGGAAGGTTAAAGGTAAGGATTTCAACCTTGATTTTTTTGTAGAAATCCTTGTATCACACTTGGAATTAAAGATGAGTTTGGCTCAATTTCATGTAATTAAAAGAGTATTAACAAGAAGATGATGGAATTAAATTAGATGGCTATGGAATAAATTTAGGAATTAATTATTTTTGGTTTGATTTTGGAATACCATGCATGAATTTGTGTCAAATTTTTGCATGCATGAACAAACTTTGCAAGTCTCAATACTCTAATTGTACATGCATCTTAGATGTTTAAAAGATTTGAAGGATTAGTTCCATGTTTGGGTATAAGAAGAGCAAGTTTTGGGGTAATATGAATTCATGAACATTTTGAACTTAATATTGAATTAAAGAAATTTTGGATGTAATTGGTTTGAATTTGATCCTAATTTCACACATGCAAATATTTTTTTAAGAGTTTTATAACTTTAATTTCATGTTTTAGATAATCCTCCGTGCATTATGAATCAATAGAATTAGTCTCATGGATTTTGTAAGAAATAAGGTTTTAAGTAAGAAATTAAGTAGACTCATAGTTGTGGAAATTAATTTGAAAAATTAATTGTTTTGATTAGATTTTGTAGTATTTTCTTGTGTTACATGAGTTTTTAAGGGAATTGAGCCATTCAAGTTCATATTTTGAAGAGATAAATGAAATGTTTTAAGAAAATCAAGTTTATGGAAATTTGGAATTAATCCTAAAGTTTTGATTTTATAATTAGATTTTTAATCCATTCATGTAATGTAATTTCAAGAGTTTGGAAAGTCTAATTCATATTTTAATATTGTGGGTTAATATAAAGAAAATGAATTAAAACTAAATTTGGACAATTGGAGCATGATTTTGAATAAATGATTTCTAATTGAGAGTGTCTACTGAATTATATATTGGTTCTCCATATTTGTGTACCAAAATACATGTTTTGAGGCCTTGAATATCAAATCTAAACTTGAATTACAATTCTGGAAATTCCAGAATTCACACTGTCCGCTCGAGCGTGGAAAGTTTCGTTCGAGCGTGAAAATCGAGCTCCCAAAAGTGTTTCAAAATTTTACAGTCTGCTCGAGTGACCAAAGTGGCGCTCGAGCGAGGACCCTATTTTCAGCAATTTTTGACTAACTCTTTTAAATGCATAATTACATCCTCATGACATTCTAAGTATTCTTAGGCACCAATTGGACTCTCATAGTCATGGAATAAACTAGAAACACATAAAGAGAGTTGAATTAAAATGAAATGAATATTAAATGGTGTTTCTATTGTGTTTTTATTATGTGATTTATATAGGTGGGCATTTGAGGCCGTATATCGACTTAACCCACTGTGAGTAACATTTTTGTAAAGATATGTTGATATAAATTATGTTTTAATTGTTATCAATAAGCTATGGTTTCTTGAGATGCTATCTTGATTATGTGAACGAATGTCCTATTTGTGAATCTATTATGGCATCCGCAGATAGTCCCAAGTCATGGGGGACGGCATGTAAATGCGGGTCCATGATGTATATGTGATACGAGATCTCGTTAGCCACTTTATTGTGGTGATATATGTTTAATCGGTATCTGGAACTGATTACTCTAGTCCGAAGACGATATGTGATATGTTCTGTGAGATGTACCATTATATTATGTTCTGATATGAGACTGATATGATTGATTGTGATATGATTTGTTTTATGGATATTGTATTTGGAATTCGTTCACTAACCCCTTTACGTTAATGTTATTCACTGGGCTTTAGCTCACAGTTTATTGTATATATGTAGGTGGTCAAGCACCGGAGCAAAGTTAGCGGCGTTAGCCTAATTTCGTTTTGTCAAGCCAACCTACTGTGCCTTACCACGAGGTTTCAAACCGTTATTGTCAAGGCTTTGTTTTGGCTTTGGGATTTAATTCCCCAACATGTCTTTTATTTTGTACTTAGACGTGTTTTGGACTTCAGTTTTTACATATATATTGAATGTGGACTTGTTCTTATGTCTGTATTGGTATATATATATATATAAGTTGTTTGTGCATTTAAGTCCTCACAGCTCTTTGGACATTATGTTTTAATATTTACAGGCTTCCGCCGGCCCCTCCTATTGTATAATTGTTATTACTGTTAAGCAGGCCTTTGGTAATCACGGATTACTGGCCGGTTACGATGCTAAACCCTTAGGAGCGGGTTTGGGTCGTGACACTCTCTCCTCTCTCTCTCCTCCCCTCAAACCACCACCCATATCCATCCTCTCTCATAGGATGAACAAACACACCTCTAATCAATTGAACAAACACAACTTTGAACAAACACATTTTTGATCATGTATGCATAGATATATACATATATATTTTTCTTGATCATGTACAAATACATATACAAATCCAAACCCATTTTAATTTTTTTTTTGATTGAAGAGAATTGAAATTCCTCCCATACATATACATATACATATATATATATATATATATATATTTGTATACATATACAAATCCAAACCTATTTTAATTTTAATTTTTTTTTGATTAAAGAGAACTGAAATTCCTACCATACATATATATATATATATATATTTGTATACATATACAAATCCAAACCCATTTAAATTTTTTTTTTTGATTGAAGAGAACTGAAATTCCCCCCGTATGGCATGTCGATCTCCAGCGAAGTGGAGAACCTCATCTATAACCCCAGCCACTTCAGAGCCATCTATTCTTGATTTATTCAAATATATTTTTGGGTAAAAAATTAGGCTTTTGATTTGGGTTTTTTTTTTTTCATGATTTCTTTCAAATTAACATTATTTTGATTAGTCTTTTGATTTCTTTCATGTTTCCTGTGTTGATTCAGAGATGATTATTGAGAGGGTAATTTGTATAGCCAAATTGGGCCGAGCTAGGAAGCATTGTTCTGAATATTAGGCCGTACTAAGAGCCGGGCTATGGGCCAGAATAGAGGTTGATAGCTCGGAATAGAGGTTGATAACTCAGTCTTGGGCCAGGCTGGTCAGCTGTGACACTGAGGCTTGGATCTAGCTGTTTAAAGGAAGTTCTGTAGCAAACCGAGGTAACATTAATGACGAGGGCTGAGCTATGTATAGCTCGGCAGGGTGGCATTCGATAGATCGACATCTGATCTATCGGTCCGAATGGTAGGGGACCGAGATAAGGCAGCTCGGTCAGGAATGTATAACCGAGCATGAGGGAATGACCATCTCACTTGCTTGCAGTGATGAGGGTGTTTTAAGGATAAACATCATCCTTGGGCATGAGAATCCTAGGAGGACTTTGCTAAGGATAGTAGAGTCCTACTAGGATTGTGCAAACCATCTCACTTGGTTGGTAGTGAGTAGAGTGTGTGATTCCTAGGAGGACTCTTATAAGGAGAGTTAGAATCCTACTAGGATTGTGCCAGGCAGAGTCTATAAAAGCTCATAGCAGGACCTATGTATAGGTATCACAATTTTGACTCTTAGAAACACATAACTTTTTGTCTATTGTCTATTTGCTAACTTAGGCATCAGAGAGGTATCTGACACACACCCACCGGCTAGCTCACGTTTGTGTCTTCAGGAAGTAAAGTGACGACGTTTGGAGGAGCGCAAACTTGATCAACAGGATTATACGAGAAGATTATTTCATACTCGTACGATTATTATTGACTAAAAAAATAAAATAATAGAAGATTAGAGTCACAAGTTGCTGATTATGCAAAAGTTTAAAATGAAGAGAGAGAGAGAGAACTGGGTTTCCTTTGAATTGGAGAGAGAGAGAGAGAGAGAGAGAAGAACAAAATGAAGATGATGGTATAATTGTCAATTTACAACTTATGTTAACAAAAGTTAGTGTGTGTTTTAGTCTATCAACCACAGGGGGGTTATGTGGTGATATTCGAACGTTAGGGGGTAATCCGCAAATGGCTAAAACCATAGGGGGTAAAGTGAAGTTTGCCTTTATTTATATCAATTATGTTGTATTTATTATTATTTTAATATCATATATATAAGTTATGTATTTGGAAAGTTGCTATTTTAGTTTTTGGTTATTTTAATAGGTTAAAATTTTGTATTTGGGAAGATAGTCGGATTTTTTTGTAGTTAGATATGATATTTGTGAGGAAAAAAGTGAAATGATTATAGATTTGATGTGATATTTTATTTTATTGACTATTTTAATCTATTATGTCTTTTTGTAAATTTTAATCTAAAAAGCCAAAAAATAGCCTTTTAGATATTTGTATAGCTTATCTGAACTAAAAATATAGTTTATATATTCTAAAAGTATCACTACAACAAAATACATCTTTGGCGACTAAAATAAATTTAGTCGCCAAAAGTGTTAGAATTGGTGACTAAAACTTTTTTTTGGTCGCCAAAAGTATAAATTTTAGCTACTAGATTTTTTTAGTCGGAATATATTGATTATTGGCGACTAAAAATAATTTAGTCGCTAAAAATACTAGAATTGGAGACAAAAAAAAAATTTTAGTCGCCGTATATTGAGTTTTGGTTACTAAAATATTTAGTCGCCGAATGTAAAATTAATAATTTATTTTTTATCTTTTGGCGACCAAAAGTTTAGTCGCCAAAACATATTTTCAGCGACTAAAAATTAGTTTAGTCGCCGTATATTAGGTATTGGCTACAAAAATATTTAGTCGCCAAATGTAAAATTAAAAAAAAAAAAAAACTATCTTTGGCGACTAAAAGTTTAGTCGCCAAAATATATTTTCAGCGACCAAAAATTAGTTTGGTCGCCAAAAAATAAAAAATTGGAGGGAGACATTTCTAATTTAAATTTGAGGGATTTATAAAAGTAATTGGCAACTAAAGATTTTTGTCGCTAATGGTGTAACATATAAGTAATTGGCGACCATTATGTATTTTAGTCGTCAATTGTATAAAATAATATATATATATTTTGTACCAAACCAAACCCTAAAATAATCTGCGCCTCTCTCTCTCTCTCTCTCTCTCTCTTTATTCGGCATCCCTCTCCCTCTCCCTCCCCGTCTCCACTACTCCTCTCCCCTCCCTCTCTCACTGCCGCTCTTCTTCGCCTTCGACGGAAACCGGAGCACCTCCTTCTCACACCGCCGCCTCCTCCTCCTCCGCCGATCTTCACAGATCCACCGCTGCGAGATCCAGAGGCTTCATCGCTGAGATGAACTCTGCTCCATTGATGCTCCGTCTCGCGTATGCTTTCTCTCTCTCTCTCTCAAAATATTCAGAGGTTTCTTGTGGGGATCTTAAAGATCTGATTAGTCCTTTTGATTTTCACTATTGATCTTAAAAATCAATACATACATACTATATACACACATCAATCTTTATCATCGTGGTAGCTTTCGATTTATTCCCTTTCAATTTGATGCATTTGATTATCTTTATCCACTTAATTTTTTTTTTTTGGTTTTTCATTTTCGAAAAGATCGTCACAGTTTGTCACAAGAAAATTGCATTTTTCTTTTAAGTTGTTTTTTTGTAGATGCTTTGCTCTAGTATAAATTTTCAAGTCTGCATCTTTCTCCAGTGATGTTCTAATCTTTATAAATCTTATCGTGTTATGTTTCAGTATGGATAAATGTTATCATATACTGTAAATTTCTAATTCGTTCTCCTATTTATTTATTTTTTGTAGGGGCTATGTCGGAATTCACAGCTCCGGATTCAGAGATTTTCTTTTAAAGCTAGAGCTTCTGCGGGCTATTGTGGACTCTGGATTTGAGCATCCATCTGAAGGCAAGATATTTATTCATATAGTCATTCAAATTCATAAATAGATTTTTTATGTCTTAGAATAACTATTAATTTTGTTTTTCTTTCATTCTTTCAGTTTTGGTCATAATGTTATGTTCATCCATCTGTTGATGTCTAGCTGTCTTCTTAGGCTTTTGTAGAATTTAGATTAACGAAAGATGAGCATCTGTAATTGAAACGCATAAGCTTTGTACTTCGTGGTTGTGGTTGTCGTGGATCTCCTATTACTTAGTTTCACTTTGGTAAGTTTTAGATATTATGGCTTATTTTTAAATAGATAGTGATTATTATTGTTGTTATTTGCTGGTATTGAATATGTTGACACATTATACTTAATATTGTCTTAAAATCATGGTCTGGGTAGCTGCCTATTGTTTTTTCTCATTTCTTTCATCTTCCAATATTTATTTTTTATTTTTTGACGATTAGCTTCTTGGATGTCATATGTCAAGCGAAATCTGGGATGGGAAAAACTGCTGTTTTTGTTCTGTCAACATTGCAGCAAATTGAGCCTGTTGCAGGTCAAGTTGCTGCCCTTGTTCTATGTCATACAAGGGAATTAGCTTACTAGGCATGTATCTAAATCGTAGGGCTTAAACCCTCATCTATTACTCTCTCTTCCTCAAACAACTCACACAGACATATATGTATGCATAGACAATCCAATTTCTATCTTATTAGTTTTCTTTCTTTTTAGTGTTTATCATTACTGCAGATCTGCCATGAGTTTGAGAGGTTCAGCACTTATTTTCCAGATATCAAGGTTGCTATTTTCCATGGCGGTGTCAATATCAAAATTCACAAGGACCTACTGAAGAATGAATGCCCTCACATTGATGTTGGAACACTTGGAAGAATACTGGCACTTGCTAGAGAAAAGGATCTTTCTCTGAGGAATGTGAGGCATTTTATCTTTCTCTAGTAACTACCATTTTTATTCAAACAAGTGTGCATCTTGTTAGTATATTATTATACTTTGTATATAATATAGCATTGTTTATAGCATTATTTTAGTATTGTTTATTAGCATTGTATCCGTTCATTGTTATCATTATGTTTGTTCACTTTCGGCTAAAGCTTTAGCCTTGCCTTTCGGTGCCTCGCGTCTCGCATGGCATGCCTCGCATCCAATATCAGACTATAAATAGAGAGCTAAGCTCCGTGTTAGGTTTATGAATTTTTCCATAAATTGTAGATCATCATCTTTATTTTGATGCATTTGCTCCATTTATGTAAATTGTTGTGCATTCTTTATTTTATACTTTGGTATAACTTTACTTTGTTTGCTGTCATATCTGATTGAGGCCTGACTATCAGAATCATTGTTTCTCTCCAGAATATTGTTGAATATCTATAAAAATGTAGAGCTTTCTTCCAATGCTTAATAATGAACTCCCTCATCAGAGGAATTCAACTCGCAAGCAACAGTTCAGTAAGTTGAGGAACCTGATGCTTATGTAATGATCAGGCAAATCATTTGATTAGCTCATGTTTCGCTTCAGAAATTCATCTACTTCTGCTTCTTGCTCTCCATGCCTTGGAGATTTTGTTAAATTACTAACCTGAACCACTTTAGGCCAATTCAAATTACAAAGAGGCATTGCTGTCAGGTAGTTTGAAGAAAACAGAGCTTTGAGTGTCAGACTAGAATCTTTGTTGTCTTGTGTAACTATCCTGACATTCAAATCTCTACCAGAAGTGTTTGTTTCTATAAGCCAGCCAACAACAACTGTGCAATCAGCAAAAGCTCCTACTTGCTACCCAAAGCCTTAATTTGAGCATTGCACTAGCACATCAGTGTGCAGACAAAGCTTTTGCATTGAGGACTGGACTGGCTTGAAGACCTTGGACAGAGCTGGGAGAGTCAAGTACATCAGTGTGTCCGGAAATCATATCAAAATGTCCAAAAATGATATGATAAAGTATATTGTCCCTTACTTGAAGAAGGGGTTTAGGCGTCTAAAGAGGGTCGATGAAGTTCAGAAGTTAAGTAAACAAAGGTTGTTGGGGAGGGAGGGATAATCCTGCAGTAATGCAAAGCCACACAAAAGCGCAAAATTTAACATCCGTCACACATCAGCTGAATTTATAATTGAAGGATGAGTTTTAGTCAATGAGTTTTTTTGAGAGCAGCCTGATTAGATATTAATTTTGTTTAATCCTCTGTTATGTATGGAATTATATTTTTGAGATTGGATTATACTTGATTTGTATAGAATTTTTTTTGGAAATATTAATTTGATGTTAAATATGATTTTTTTATTTTTTATTTTTTATTTTATTTTATTTTTTTTTTATGGTTGAAAGTGAAATGTGTGTGTGTTGTGAAATGGTTGCTAATTTTATCAGTATATAGATAATTTTATTTATAAAATGGAAAAAAACTTTTGGCTACTAAATATTTGGTAGCTAAAAATAAAAATAAAATGGAAAAAAAACTTTTGACTACTAAATATTTAGTAGCTAAAATAAAAGCAGACTTTAGGCGATTAAGAATTTAGTAGCTAAAAAAAATAAAATGAAAAAAATAAAAAAATAAAAAGATGAAAAAACCCTTTGGCGACTAAAACTTTGGTCGCCATAGGTACTTCAAGTTTTGGCGACCAAAGTTTTAGTAGCGGAAAATAAGATTTTTCGTGACTAAAATTTTATTTAGGCGACTAAAAATGTTAGTCGCCATTTATAGGACTTTTGGCGACTAAAAAATATTTAGTCGCCAATACCTTCCCCGACAAGTGTTCCGCGACCAGTCTAGCGACCAAAATATTTAGTCGGGCAAAGAATTTGGCGACTAAAAATTGCACTTTTGGCGACTAAAAAATTCGTCGCCAAATGTGCATTTTGTTGTAGTGTATTTATTAATTTTTTTAAATAATTATATAATTGGAGAAATTTGTGAAAAAATTAGTTTTTTGAGTGCGTATGGTATTACATTCAATAATTATTTTATTTTAGTGATAAAAATAGGATTAATGAAATTATTTGATAAAAAAAAATATTTTTTATTTTCATGCTCGCTAGTCACGACAGATAGTGTTAGGTTTTTATTCTTGGCAACCCCGTTTGACAAAACTCCTTTCAGATGTATTTATTTTCGCACTTTTATTTCAGTGAGGCTATGGGTTTATTAGATGCGAATCCAAACCCGAATCGAACCATGCAGGTCAAATAGGCATATTAGATAGACAAATAAGTAACGTGGATAAATAAATAAATGTCATGTGATCAGTGGACAATTAGACAAATCAGTAGGAGTAATATGATCATTCAAATTTTTATTACTCTTTTGACCCTAAAAGACTACAGTTTGAAGTTAAATTTTCAAAATTGGACTTATGACCCGAGTACTTTATATAATTTATCACTTTTATTATATATAGTATATACATATATATTTAGAAAAATTCTGTTTTCACACATCTAGTTAGCTTAGGGCACACACTTAATGAAATATTAATTTAATGACAATTATATCCTAAATAAAAATGACCATAATAGATATCCAGCAACATCTATAATATTATATAAAAAAATTCTCTGTACACATCTTTTATGAACAAAAAAATCTCAAAGTATACCTTTTGAGTTTAAAAAAAGCAAATCCTAATTTTTCCATTGTTGTCATATTACTTGTTACACATTCAATAGTCCTCTATTGCTTGCAAAACAAAACTCTCAAAACAATTCTCATATTGTTTTAATCTCTAGGTTTATGCTCTATTATTTATATCGTTTTCGTATTAGTTCCACAATTTTTGCTTGATTTTGATATGGAAAAGTTGCAAACGAAGTTCAAACTCAAGCAAGAAATAAACAACTCAACATTTGGATTCAGAAAAATTATGAATGCACTCATTTGGATTTATCTATGTAAAATAAACACTCGAGACAGATTTCACAAAATAGTATAGAAATTCTCAAAGACAAAAAAGAAAAAGAAAAAGAAAAAGAAAAAGAAAAAGAAAAGACAGAAATAAAACTTGAAACTGCTCTATATTTTTATTTTTATTTTGTTCTATTTTTATTAATAGAATCCCTTTCTCAATCTGCATTCTTCAATTATTTTTTTCTTTTATTCACTATTTCTTTTTCCTTTTTTTTCCCCTGTACTCTTCTCTTACTTATTATTTTATTTTATATTTTTTCTTTCTTTGGAATGCCCACAATGAATGCCTCTTTTCTCTTTTTTATCATGCAAAGAAAGAGGGCAAGTGGGTAGTTTAAAATCCCTTTTTCTTGCAAACCATAAAACCATTTTTAGCAGATTTTCATATCTTTTGGGAACGTCACATTAATTGTGTGTCTTCATTTTCAACATTTTCCCCTCCCAACGATCATTCAACGGTTTATTTAAAGGCCACAACTAATAGTAATGATCATTCAATGGAGCCTCTTCAATGGTGTTGTCAATGGAAGTCTTTAATGGTGTCTTCAATAAAGCAAAGTTCTTCATTGTGAGTTTTCACTTTGAAGTGAAGGGTATAATTGATACAATTAGTGTGTGGAATAAAAAATTAATTAATAATTAAATTATAAAGTGTGTGTGTTGAGAAATGATGTGGATTGAGACAATTAAGTGTGGAACTAGAATTTCCCATATATTTGAAACTAGTTAACAATATGGTGTTCAATGAAATTGTGGAACTGACATTTTGGTTTTAATTCAATTTTAAATGTTTCACAATTTGATTTAATTTTTAAAATTTTATAATAATTGATTTGATTATAAATTTATGATACCTAACAAGTATATTATTTATATCTCAGTTAGTTGGTATGTAACATAATTTACTATCTAAATTACCTTTATACTAATTAAGTATCAATTCTCTAATAATTGCTCTCATTTTGCTGTTTATGGCATGGGTGATTAGAAAAGAACTATAAGCATGGATATATATAATAGTATTGACAGAAGCCTTGCGTGGCAACAATAACTAGTTTTTAATAATTGAGTTTAAATTCTAACAAGAAGCAAAAACACTATAAATTGCTAGACAACTTATTTTGAATAAACCAAACCCATTTAATCAGGGTTTAATAGGGGCATTTGAGTCCCACTAAATAAAAGTTACTTGTAGTTGATTGGGTTACACCTAATATAAGAGAGCAAGACAAATTTTGGCAACTTTCGCTTTTTTAGCTTTCTTAAATTTTTTTGTTTTGTTTTTTCAGATCACATTTACTCTTTACTTATATATATATATATATATATATTTAAAAAATAAAAAAAGTCAAAAAAACTAATTTTTAACTGTGTGAGTGATTTTCTGACTACACTGCCCGCCTAGTAATCAGCTGGAAAAGCACTGACAGAATAGATGGCTTCTAACTAACCTGCAACAGAAAGAGAAGTCTCCGGCGGTGGTTCAACCACCCGGGGGTACACCGACGATCAAGTCAGTATATCTCTCAAAGATAATCAAGTGCTAAACTCACAAGCTTAAACATAAAAAGCGTACCTTTGACCCATGGGGGTGCTTCTTTTTTATAGCCAACATAAACCTAGTCCCACTAAAAGCCTGACTTCTATGGACTCCCATTCAGTGCTTCTGGAAAAGCACTGGCAGAATAGATGGCTTCTAGCTAACCTGCAACAGAAAGAGAAGTCTCTGGCGGTGGTTCAACCACCCGGGGGTACACCGACGATCAAGTCAGTATATCTCTCAAAGATAATCAAGTGCTAAACTCACAAGCTTAAACATAAAAAGCGTACCTTTGACCCATGGGGGTGCTTCTTTTTTATAGCCAATATAAACCTAGTCCCACTAGAAGCCTGACTTCTATGGACTCCCATTCAGTGCTTACTTTGGATTTCACAAGAGATAAAGATAAACTCCCTAAGAGCTTTATCCTTATCTTAGCAAAGTTTCCTCTTTACTCTAGGACTCTTGCCTCTTATCCATTTATCTCGGATTCCAATATCTTCGGAGATAACCTCGGCCTTGCCGAGATAACCTCAGCGTCACAACCAAGACACGTGGCACATCGGCTGACACGTCGGCATCACCTTGCCACGTGTTGGTATTCAGAAAATACATCCCCACAACTGCTCCCTAGGTTCTATTACCTCGGCCTAATCTGAGGTAATGGAACTTATATCTGTATTTTCTTCCAGTAAATTGGCTTAAAATTTGACAGCCGAGATCATTCATTTCAGGCCGACATACTTTCTCTAAAAAATCAAGATTTTTAAGGACCTTCTCACGCACATGAGCTGTCATGCACTTGAACCCAACCGTTTTAGCCACGCGTTTCCCTCTTACTGGTCCGTACACGTGACGCGCCTGTTAGCCGCCCCTTTCTTCATGTGCGCCGTCTGATGCCCTCGTTCTTCTAGGCGTATTGATTGCTTTTGCCACCGTTTCTGTTTAATCAATTTTTTTTTTCCCTTTTTTCTGTCTCTTCACTTTTTCATTCGAATCTCCTGCTATCTCTCTCTAGCTTTCAAAACCCTCTATCGCTCAAGCTTCAAAAGCTTTGCAACCTTCTCCGTTCACCCCTTCCGGCGAGATTTCCACCAGTCTTCTGCTCCTGCAACCGTCGTAGGACATCGGCAAATTCCTTTCCGGCTTCCCTTTTTCTGGTAAGCTACTGTTCTTTTCGTTTTCAATTCCTTGATGTTTCTTCTTTTTTTGTTGTCGCCATTACTGTACTGTTTTGAGCTTTTTTAATTCATAAATCGTACATCTGAATGCATTTATCCATGATTTTGCCTTTGCCCACATTTTGCACACACGCACTGTTTCACCATTTCTTTGCACTTTTGCCACTGTTCTTGGTCATATACTCTTGTATTCTTCATGTTCTTGATAGCCCATCTTAGTTCTTGTTTCTGAAACTTCGTTTTTGTTTTCTGTTTTTTGCATCTTTTCCAGATTCTTGCTTTCAATCCGTGTTTCCATAGATTTAGGTCTGGGATTTTTCTGTAGAACCCATAACTTAGGAAAAAACTGAAACCTGCACCTACCTTATTGTTTGCCGAGGTCCCAATAACCTTTCAAAAACATCTTGTGAGACCCACCTTCTACGATTAAGCCGATATCATGGGTATGTGGAAACATAGGGTAAGCACCTCCTCCAAACTAGAATACTTTAGACAGGAGTTTGAGATCCCAGCCGACGTCCATTTGAGGTTGGCTAGGGATGATGACTCCATCATGCCCACTGCCGACTCCATGCCTTTCCCCGTAGTCGCCTTTATCGAGTGTGGACTTCGGTTTCCACTAAACATTCT